CATTGGCACAAACTGACACACAGGAGGGTCCCTCTGAACATCAGGAAACTTTTTTTTCACAGTGAGGGTGAGCAAGCACCAGCACAAGTTGCCCAGGGAGGTTAAGGAGTCTCCATCCCTGGAGATACTAAAAAACTGTATCAACACACCCCTGTGGCCCTGTTTGAACAGGGTGGTTGGACCAGATGATCTCCTGAGGCTCTTGCACCTCTTCTGTGCTTGTGTGCTCAAAAACCGTCCAAGGGGCTGAGATAAGGCTGATGTCAGAGTGCTGCAGGATCAGGATGCTGTCCAAGAACTGCTCAGCACAGGAGCTGCCCTAACCGCGCCGACTCTGCAGCTCCAGCTGCAAAATGAGAATAATCTGATCTGTGTGACGGGGAAGGATGACTCAAGAGCTTAAGCAGCTGCTGGATTTATGGGCAGAAAGTGTAAAGCATTGCACTGAAAGGCAGGAGCCACTGAAACCCTGAAATCTCAAGGCAATATAGAATTTCCTATAACAAAGACTATTGAACTTCTTCCATCTGTGGACCCCTAAAAATTTTCCAGCCGAAATAAGCCACACACAGAGGTTAATTTCTTCCTCTCCCAGCCCCTTCCACCCATCTTGAAGCACGGAGGGGCTGGAAGCCCATGTGCAGGTCCAGAGGATTTCAAGACCGATGTTCAAGGCCAGGCTGGATGGGGCTTGGAGCAACCTGGTCTGGTGGGAGGTGTCCCTGCCCATTGCAGGTGGGTTGGAACTCGATGATCTTCAAGGTCCCTTCCAATCCAAACCATTCTATGACTCCATGATTTCATAGTGACGGTCTCACCCCGGGTCATCACAAGCATGTTGGTACCACAGGAGCTCACTGTGTAGCTCAAAACTGGGGTAAATAAGCAAGTGTGCCCTAAAACAGGCGACATGAAGGTATGATTTCCCACCATTGATGCTGGATGTCCCAGCCCCTGGGCCTGAACTGGGCTCAATGTGAAGCTGTGTCTGCTCCCGAGAGCTGCAGATGCCAAATGGTGCCCAGTGCAACCAGTTTCAGACAAAAAAATGGGGGGAAACCCCCAACCCACCAGCCCAATCTATTATAGCTTGATGGCTTCAGTAATTAGTGGGTATGATTTGTCTTCTCCTGCAGGATCCCGAGGGCTGAGCGATACCCGGCGTGTGCCGCGCAGGCGTCTCGGGGCCGATGACTTCACAGCCTCTCAGGCAGGATTGTGAAACGGTGCTCCTGCTGTTTAATGTACTTTTTCAGGTTACAACAGGTTTAGCAAACAATAAAAAACATCTGGAGCTCCCATTTAAATAGAAGAGTTGTGTTACTAGTAATAAAGCCATGACCGGTGCCATAAAGCGCTCCCTGGTAAACAGGAGCTGATGTGCAGGTAAATAAAGGGAGACGACAAACTAACAAGGGTGAGGGAGGAAGGCTGCTCCCTGTCCTCCTCGGCCAAAGCTCATGCTGGGTGTGAACAACCACTGCTGTCCTCAGAGGGCTTGAACTGGGATCCTCGCCCTCTTTCCCTGATCCTCTTGCCATGGGTGAGGTTAAAGGGGGTCACTGCAGCATCCCATGGGAGCACCCACCCCAGCAAAGCCCCAGAGACCACCTTACAGCCTTTGGTCCCACCCCAGCTCCTCTCTGACTGTTCCAAGAACAGCAGCACAAGGAGGGGCACGGGAGATGCAAGACAAGACAAACTTCCCCATCTATTTTCCATGTCAGTCCCCACTCCTCATACAATCATCACAGAATTGTTTTGGTTGGAAAAGACCTTTAAGATGATTGAGTCCCAACCGTCAACCCAGGAGCGCCAAGTTACCACTGACCCATGTCCCTCAGTACCACGTCTGCCTGCCTTAAGTACCTCCAGGGATGGTGATTCCACCACTTCCCTGGGCAGCCTGTTTCAAGGCTTGACAACCCTTTTGGTGAAGAAATTTTTCCCCATGTCCATCCTAAGCCTCCCCTGGCACAACTTGAGGCCATTTCCTCTTGTCCCATCACCTGTTCCTTGGGACCCCCGCTGGCTACACCCTCCTTTCAGGGAGTTGGAGAGGGTGAGAAGGTCTTCCCTCAGCCTCCTTTTCTCCAGGCTGAACACCCCCAGCTCCCTCAGCCTCTCCTCACAAGACTTGTGCTCCAGACCCCTCACCAGCTCCATTGCCCTTCTCTGGACATGCTCCAGCCCCTCAATGTCATTCTTGTAGTGAGTGCTTCTGTGCTCAAACCCATCCCTGTAAGGGGGGGACCTGTCCCCTGCCCACCCTCTGCCAAGGGAGAGGTACTTCCTCCCTTTTCATCCTTAACTGGGATTTCAAAGTAGGAAATAAAGGTCACCAAGTAAACAGAAAACAAACGAAGAGTAAACGTCTATTCCCCAGATTACAGGGATCTAAGCTGGTTTGGTTTATCCTTCTCCCAGGTTCAAAGAGTATATGGATCCTCCACTACTTCACAGCCTCTGGTTTGATTTGGAAGTCCTCCTCCTCCTCAATCGCCATGCAGCAAGCCCTTCCCCACCCCTCAGCATCACTTTTGATTTCCCTCCAGCTCTCGGCCAGAGGGGGAAGCGGGATGGGCCAGGGGCTGTGAAGGCCATTTCTGTCCATGTAGAGGAGGAAACACAAGTGGTTCCTGTTGGCTGCGGTTCAGCCCCAGGACAGCCTGATCCTGCAGGGAATGTGGCTGGACACTGAGCCGGTGCTGCCAGCCCTTCCCGACCAGGCTGGGAAATAGTTGTCCCTGGGGAATTGTTGAAGGCAGAGCATCTAAGACATCCACCAATTCCTTGTAGGCTTTGCGCAGCCCTGAGGAGCGTGGTAGGGGGGACGACACAACGGGCTGACCCCCAGCCAGACAGACTGGGGTCACCCCCCTCTATTCTGCCTTGACTCAACCTCTGGCAATTCCTGGCTCTAACCATCAACCACAGGTCGTTGTTGATCGATGACTACCTGTTTGTTTTCTGCTGAATCACCCGACAGCACAAAGTTTGTGGTTCCTTCCCCACCCTCTGGAAATCCTCCGCACGCGAGATCAGCCCTCGCCCCACGCCTCGGTGGCTGTGGCTTCACGCGTTGTCTTCGAAAGCCAGAGCAGAAGCAACCCCCCCGCCTCCCCCAGCAATGAGCCAACGCACTCTAAGAAGGCAAACAACAGGTTTTCATCCTGTTTCCAGCTTAACATGCATGTATTTTAATCGCTGGTGGTATCTGAGTTGTAGATACACCATGGATGACTCACTAGCCCTATAATTCACAGCGGAGCTGCGGTGACGGCCAAGCCCCCGCAGCAGAAGCACACCATAACGTCTCCCCAGGGCACAGACACCAGGTCCAGGGCAGTAGGATGCCAGCAGCATCTTGGGCTGGATGGAAATCATCACACTTCCAAAATTTACAGTGCATCACCTTCACACCACACAGCCCTGCAGGGGCCACAACGTGCCTGTGCTCAACAGAGCCCCGCAACGAAACGGCCCAACGCAGCCCAAAATTGGGATGTTGAAAAATATTAGCAATGACTTTGCACTTTTCCTCAGGAGGCAGCGGGACACGAGGAGATGCTTCATCCCGAGGGTGCACCATCAGGCACCCCAAAGGTGCACAGAGTCCCCCAGGCCACCTCAGGGGGATGCAGACAGGACCATCTCTCACCTCTTGGTCAGGAGGATAGGTAAGCACATGCTGAAGTTCTCACCTCCCAGCAGGACCTAAGCATGGGCTTAACTTTATATATGTTCAGGGCTCTGCTGAACGGACATGCCTGTTGTGTCTCCAAGCCCTGAGAGCGCCTTGAAGGCTCAGACACCTGTGAGACACGAGCACTTCTATTCTGGTCCTCCACGTGTGGGTTTATAGCTCCAAAACAGGAAACCTTTGATTCGTTTTTCTCCCTGAGCAGGCTAACTGCTAATCTGTGTAGCTACAGGAAACACTCTACGTGAGGGAAGGAGACACCTGAACTACACACAATACTTGGAAACCTCACTGCATCCAGAAACTCCAATCGCACCTTCATTTCACGTGAAGGATGCTAAGGCAAAGCTTCTCAGCCTCCCAGGAGAGCCGTGGCTGAGCCGAGCATCATAGAATCATAGAACAGAATCACAGAATTGCCCAGGCCGGAAGGGACCTCCAAGGGTCATCTAGTCCGACCCCCCCGCAGTCAGCAGGGCCCCCCCCAACTAGACCAGGTTGCCCAAGGCCCCGTCGAGCCTCTCCTTGAATATCTCCAGGGAAGGGGCCTCACCCACCTCCCTGGGCAACCTGTTCCAGTGCTCCACCGCCCTCACAGTGAAGAACCCTCGCCTCATCTCCAGTCTAAATCTGTTCCCCTCCAGCTTAAAGCCATTGCCCCTCGTCCTGTCACTACAGGCCTTTGTAAACAGGTTCTCCCCAGCCTTCCTGTAGGCTCCCTTCAGGGACTGGAAGGCTGCTATTAGGTCTCCCCAGAGCCTCCTCTTCTCCAGGCTGAACAACCCCAACTCCCTCAGCCTGTCCTCGTAGCAGAGGTGCTCCATCCCCCTGAGCATCCTTGTGGCCCTCCTCTGGACCCTCTCCATCAGGTCCATGTCTTTTTTATATTTGGGGCTCCAGACCGGCACACAATACTCCAGGAGAGGTCTCACCAGAGCAAAGTGGCAGAATCCCCTCTCTGGACCTGCTGGCAACACTTCTTTTGATGCAGCCCAGGATGGGATTGGCTTTCTGGGCTGCAGCTGCACACTGCCTGCTCATGTCCAGCTTCTCATCCGCCAGCACCCCCAAGTCCCTGTCACCAGCACACAAGAGCATCCCTCTCCCCGTACCAACTGCATCCACCACTGCTCCTTGGAAGCAGCCGGGTTGGCAGCTCTGACCTCCCCCGTGGACCCTCCTGATGTCCCAGGAGAGCAGATTCGCGGAGAGCTCCTAAAATTCGTGCTCAGGCAGAGCTCAAGCCCCCTAGAAAAACCCACCCACGCTCTGCCCACCCAAGCAAATCAACGCTTACCTGATTTGCCGATAGAAACTCCTGGGCGTTCTCGTTCATTCCCATGTACATGTTCTCCCCATCAAACTAGAAAGACAAAAGAAAGTTAGAGTTAGTGAAATGTCATCTTCACGCCAGGCTTATGTGCATCCCAAACACTTTCCTGGCTCTTCACACCAAGATTCCCAGAAGAAAATCCTGAGCTGGTCTTTGAGAACTTTAGAGAGCCTATGAGCACACGCAGGTCGCCGTCACCGCGATGGGCCACGGTGACACAGCACATTCATGTTAATTTTTCAGCAAAGTAATGAATGAATCACCCCGGTTCAAACAAACCAAACCTCTGCAAAACCACAGATCAAAGATCACCCATGTGAAGTTGTTGCTAAAATTCCCACTAGATCAATCAATCAGCTTTAAAAAGCCAGTTTCCATCGATGGAAATTTCCAAGACGGGGCAGGTCCCATTCAATCCTCTTCCAGACACCGACGTACTCCACGAGCACCAAAGCAGAAAGTCACTCTGGACCATATGGGAGGGAGGGTCTCTGTGCAAAGCCTGATTCCCCATCCTGACCGTGTGCTGCTCTTTGTGAGCTCTGGTTGCCAGAAGGCACATTTTCCCCCTTCATCCCCTCATCCCCTCCCCCAGGACTCTGTTTCCGTGGCCGGGTGAGAGGCAGGAGAAGATGAGGACCATGCATTCACCCGTGCCCCCACGGCTCCTGCACACACGCCTGCCCCCTTCTCCCGCTTCTGAACTGCTAAGCCACTTATTAAGGCTACAAAACCCCCACCGAGACCTGCAAAACTCTTCTCATCAATTAGCTACAGCAGGAGCTTTTCCCTTGCTCTGCCTCCAAATGATGGAAAAAACAGCCCTCCAGGATTGTCTCCGGCTCAAAAGTATGGCTGGGGCAGTTCTCAAGGCTAAGTTCACAAATTAATTATGGCAATAAAATGGGCTATGCCATAAAACACTCCCGAGACGAGGATGAAGGCTCCAGCTGTGAATGACACCAGCTACTTAACAAGGGGAAGAGCCAACCCTCATGCCCTTACAAGCCCAATGATGAATTGAAGATTGTTCACCCCTTGCGCGTCCCCTTGCTCTCTGATACGAAGCTGACACCAGTTATGCCTTAACATAAATGGGCCGTATTAAGTACAATAAAAGAGAAATCCAAATAAAACCAGGTGAAGGTTTTCAGCGTAGGATTATTAATTACACTTCCATTTCTCAGAGTGCTGCAGGATTAGCTATTAAAGTCAGCGGAGTTGGTAGAGCCAAGTGGGGGTAAGGCGGCTCTGCTCGGCGTCAGAGTGCACAGACACCCTCTAATTGCCAAACCGTCCTCTGGGAGAGCAGAGCAAACCAATTAAAAGCAGGGAAATTAGAGCGGGTGTTGTGACACTCATTAACTAATACCGCCAGCAGCCGCAGCAGGGTGGCAGGGGATCCCCTGCGCAGATGCAGGATTTCATTAAACCTCTCGTGGAGGCAGGAGCATGGGATGCAGCCAGCATCGGCCACCCTCCAGGCTGGCTGGAACCAGCAGCTCTCCCAGCAGCCAGCCGGGTGCTACCCACTTTAAACTGGATTTCCCTCCTCCTGTAAAACGACGGCTTGGCATAGCTGGCTCCTGCTCACACGCTTCCAAGCTGGAGCTGCCGTGCTTCCAGGCATGGAGACTCAACCAGCTCTACGGCCCAAACACCCTCTGCCAACCCCGCGGGGACACCTGAATCTGCAGGAGAGGTTTGGTGGGACAGGTTGGAGGAGATGCTCAGCCCAGCAGGACCCAGGCTCTGCGGGAGGAGCTGGTCTCCAACTCGGCACGGGCAGCAGCATGGTTTCCAGGGGGAGTCAGTCTTTTTGGTACAGGCAAAATTATGGTCCTGAGGTCCCACTCCTGAGCTCTTTTTAGGAGCATGCCACCAAAAAGCCCTCGGAGGGATGGTGGAGCAGCTGTGACACACTGTGTGGCACTGTGGGATGCTGACAAGCTATGGTATCTGGAAACCCCAGGGAGATGCAGCAGGTGAGTCCCACAGGAGCTTTCCAGCAACTTTCAACTTTCCTGAAGAGAAAGAAAGTATTCCAGTGGGGAGAGAGTTCTGTCCATCCCCGGAACCAGGCAGGAATTCACGCTGCAGAAGTATTTACTTCCACATCAGGAAAAGAAGAGCTTTTTACTCAGTAAAAGCTTTGCCCCTCTGAGAGATCTAAATACACAGATGATGCTCATCCATCCATCCATCCATCCACCCACCCATTCCCCCCCTTCCTTGTAAACGCACACCTCACTTTTGTCCTCCTCCAGTGCAGTATTTTCCAGATCTACGTAAAAACCTGTTTGAAACAGCTCTTCTCCAGAAAACAAAAGTCACCTGGAAATCTACATGCAGAAAATAAAAAGTACCTTTCCCTGGGAGGTCCAGGGCAGGACAAGCACTCTGCTTTCTCTATCACTCTGTTTGTCAGATTGCATTTTTTTTTTATTTTATGGCTTTCTACTATACCCCTACCTGCGCTCCACACTTCCTTCTGCCCTTGATGCCTTCATAATAACGGTAATGAATCCTGCCTTCAAAATTACTGTGCCTCTGATTGCCAGCCTGAGCAGTGAGCCTGAAAATCAAGACTCAAAATGCAATGGAAACTTTGAAACTTCCCCATTGCTGATTGGATTTTTTTTCCCCTCTCCTCCAGGCTATGAGGGTACAAACAAATTTATTAGAAATTCTCCCATCAGGATATTTTTTCAATTAGACGTTTGCCACTTATACACCAGCCAGGTAGAGCAGATAAGTAATGTGCTCTCCCTCTTCTCATTATTGTTTCGCTACAGAATGCACTTCAAAACAATCAGCCCCATCATTCCAGGTAGATTTACGGCAGAAACAGACATTTTAATATTTCCCTTTGGTTACAAACGCTTCCTCCCTTTTTGCTTTGGTCTAACTCCCGGTGCGTGTCCAGCCTCCCAGGCAGTTCCGGACCCGGGCGCATCCATTCATCACCCTCTGTGCCCCCCAACTGATCAAACCCACACCCTTCTAAAGCAGCGTGGCCAGTGGGGTGAGGGGAGGGATTCTGCCCCTCTGCTCCGCTCTGGGGAGACCCCCCCCCCATTGTTGTCTCCAGCTCTGGGACCACCAACAGCAGAAGGACATGGAGCTGTTGGAGCGGGGCCAGAGGAGGCCACGGAGATGCTGGGAGGGCTGGAGCCCCTCTGCTGGGAGGGGGGGCTGAGGGAGTTGGGGGGTTCAGCCTGGAGAAGAGAAGGCTCCGGGGAGACCTTAGAGCCCCTTCCAGTCCCTCAAGGGGCTCCAGGAGAGATGGGGAGGGACTCTGGATCAGGGAGGGGAGCCCTAGGATGAAGGGGAAGGATTTGACACTGAAAGAGGGGAGATGGAGCTGAGATGTGGGGAAGAACTTGTTTGCTGTGAGGGTGGTGAGAGCCTGGCCCAGGTTGCCCAGAGAAGCTGTGGCTGCCCCATCCCTGGAGGGGTTCAAGGGCAGGTTGGAGGGGGCTTGGAGCAACCTGGTCTGGTGGGAGGCGTCCCTGCCCAGGGCAGGGGGTGGCCCTGGGGGGGCTTTAAGGTCCCTTCTAACTCTAACCGGTCTGTGATTCTATGTATGATGTGCACATGCAGAGCAGCCGGTGTCATTTTCAAGTCCTAATTTGAAAGGAACATACTCTCATGCAGTTGTCTTAATCATCCTTTTGCCCTTTTGTAATTACTTAATTTTTGTTATTCTTTGGCTAATAGCAGCAGCCTATTAAACAAATCAGTGGCTGTGGCTAATTCTCACCCTCTCCTGCATGAAATGAGCACGAAGCTGGGATGAGCTGAGATCCCTCTACTCATGGAACTTTGCATCCAAGCCCCGGTGTTCGCCTGAAAACCTGGGAAATCCAAACCCAGTGTAGCCAAGTTGGGAAACTGGGAGAGGAGAGAAGATCTGATTAATTGATTTTCCTTCATTGTAGACTCAGACCTGTTTTTATCTGACTTGCACTGACATATTAGTTGGTTGCCTACAAGCACAACCAGAATCAAGGACCTCTACCTCTAAAGGGACCCATAAAGCCCCACTTTGCCAAATCCCAATTCAAACCTGTCTCACGTAACATGCTCAGGACAGGAACAACTCTACACCCAATTTAAAAAAAAATAAATAAAAAAATCAGAGGAAACTACCCAAATTCCTACCAACTCTGGAAACAAAGACGTGCTCCATGTCATGGAGAATGTACTTAAAAATACAATTATTTGACTATGGCTCTACCAGGAGAGCTGTAGCGGGCACGAGAGCATTGCTGAGCACCCATCAGCCCACGCAGGAGCCGAGCACAGGCTGGATTCAGACAATGTTCCAAGAAGTATTTATTTTTAAAAAAAAAAATTACTTCTTTGCCAGACTCACTTTGGTTTGTTATTTTTGCGATAGGCCGCTATTTTCAAACCTGCCAACGTGCCCAGAGGTCAGAGGGGTCCCACGTTGGCCAGATGAAAATGAGTAAGAGAAATAAGGGCAGGCTGGAAGCTGGGACAGACCCCCGAGCCCCGCGGCTGTGGGACCCCCCGGCTCCGCGCAAACACAGAGAACAAATGTTTGTTAACTGGGAAGGACCCCGTGGAAAGAAACACAACCTCCTGCCAAGATTCAGAGAAGGTGTCACTTTCTCGTGGATGGCACTGCCAGCTCCTGCGGTTTTATTACGAATCTCATCACGTCCTTTTCTGAGCTGAGAGTCGGGAGCTGAGATGAAAACCTCAAACTTTGTAAGAAATATGCTGGCAATGCTCCTACTAGGAATGACTTCAATGACACCTGCAAGATCTCAAAAATCTTCCGAACTTCTTATTTTCTTTTATTTTAATTTTTTAAGTGTGGTTACGCACAGGGTTTGGCGTTTGGGTTTTTTTTTGGGGGGGGAGGGGTGGGAGGTTGGTTGTTGTTTTTATTTTGAGGGGTCCCATCTAAATTTTAACACTCACTGGACCAGAGCATCCTAACTGCAAGTCCACTGAGGATCTGGAGCTTTGTAAAAAGTGGCCTGCTAATGCAAATCCAG